GAGCCCCAAGTTGGGCTCCATGCTGAGCATGGAGCCTGCTTAAGATTCTCTCTCTCTCCTGCCCCCTCCCCTGTTTGCGTGGTCTCTCAAAAAAAAAAAAAAATTTATATATATATATATATATATATATATATATATATATATATATATATACAAAAACAAAAAACCAAAAACAACCCACAACTGAATCCTGCCACATATAAAAAGGATTACACATCATGACCAAATAGGATTAATCCCAGAATGCAAGTTGGTTTAACATCCAAAAATTAATTGATTCAAAATATCATATTACTAGAATAGAAGACAAAACCCACGTGATCATCTCAGTCGAAACATAATTTGGCAGAATCCAAAATACTTTCATGATTTAAAACAAAACAAAACCCAACACTGAACAAACTAGGAATAGAAGAGAATTCACGCAACTTGACAAAGGTCATCTATGAAAAAGGCACAGATAACATCACAGTCAACATCAAAAGGCTTTCCCACTAATATCAGGAATAAGGAAGTATATCCATGCTCATCATGTCTATTCAACTTGTACAAAAGTTGTAGCTATGGGTACTTGGCTGGCTTAGTCAGTGGAGCACACAACTCTTGATCTTGGGGTGGTGAGTTTGAACCCCACTTTGGTGTAGAGATTAATAAAAAAAAAAAAGTTGTAGCTAAGCCTGTTAGTCAATAAAAAGGAATAAAGGCATACAGATTTGAAAGCAAGAAGCAAAACTATTTCTCCTTCCTTCCTTCCTTCCTTCCTCCCTTCCTTCCTTCCTTCCTTCCTTCCTTCCTTCCTTCCTTCCTTCCTTCCTTCCTTTTTTTGCTGCAAAAAGCTTTATCATTTCCATTTGGTCCACAGCTTAAAAAGCTGCCTAGAGGCTGCAGGGAGAAACTCAAGTACAAGCCTGGGCATAAAAGGGATGCCATCTAGGAAATGTTTCTCTAGGAAGAAGTAAAACTTTCTATTCACAGATGTCATTGTACATAGAAAATCCTAAGGAATCCACAAAATATTATTACTAATAAGCGAGTCTAGAAAGTTTGTAGGATAGCAGATAAAAACACAAAAATCAATTGTATTTCTATATACCTGCAATGAAAATATAAAAATGAACTTAAGGAGCACCTGGGTGGCTCAGCCAGGTAAGTGTCCAACTTCAACTTAGGTCATGATCTCACAGTTTGTGGATTCGAGCCCCACATCAGTCTCTATACCAGTCAGTCTCTATATTGGTATAGAGACCATCAGTCTCTATACCAATCAGCTTGGGATTCTCTCTCTCTCCCCTTCTCTCTCTGCTCCTCCCCTGCTTGCTCTCTCTTTCAAAATAAATAAACAAACTTAAAAGAAAAAAAAAGAGTATAATTCCAGGGGCATCTGGCTGGCTCAGCTGGAAAAGCATAGGACCCTTTTCTTTTTTAAAATGTTTATTTTCGGGGCGCCTGGGTGGCGCAGTCGGTTAAGTGTCCAACTTCAGCCAGGTCACGATCTCGCGGTCCGTGAGTTCGAGCCCCGCGTCAGGCTCTGGGCTGATGGCTCGGAGCCTGGAGCCTGTTTCCTCTTCTGTGTCTCCCTCTCTCTCTGCCCCTCCCCCGTTCATGCTCTGTCTCTCTCTGTCCCAAAAATAAATAAACGTTGAAAAAAAAATAAAATGTTTCTTTACTTATTTTGGGGGGGGAGGGGCAGAGAGGGAATTCCAAGCAGGCTTGCGCTGTCTCTCTCAAAAATAAATCTAAACATTTTTTTTTAAATAAAGAATTTATTAAAAAGAAATAAATTTAAGAAAATAATTCCAGGGAGGAAAGGGGGCCTGGGTGGTTCAGTCAGTTAAGCATCTGACTCTTAATCTTAGCTCAGGTCATATCTCACAGTTCCTGAGTTTGAGCCCCAAGTCCAGCTCTGTGCTGACAGCACAGAGCCTGCTTGGGATTCTGCCTCCCTCTCTCTACCCCTCCCCTGCTCCTGTTTGCTCTCTCTTTCAAAATAAATAAACATTAAAAACAAAACAAAACAAAAAAGGGCGCCTAAATGGCTCAGTCAGTTGAGCGTCTGACCCTTGGTTTTAGCTGAGGTCATGGTCTCATGGTTTGTCAGTTTGAGTCGCATGTTGGGCTTCACTCTGACAGCGAGGAGCCTGCGTGGGATTCTCTCTCTTCCTCTCTCTGCCCCTCTCCTGCTTGCTCTCTCTCAAAATAAATAAATAAACTTAAAAAAAAAAAGACTATAATTCCAGGGGCACCTGGCTGGCTCAGTCGGAAAAGCATGTGACTCTTTTTCTTTTTTTAAATGTTTATTTACATTGAGAGAAGGGGGGGCGGAGCGTGAGCGAGTGGGGGAGGGGCAGAGAGAGAACCCCAAGCTAGCTATGCACTTCCAGCACAGAGCCCAGTGCAGGGTTCCATCTCACCAACCATGAGATCATGACCTGAGCTGAAATCAAGAGTAGGATGCTTAACCAACTGAGTCATGCAGGCACCCTGGAAAAGCATGTGACTCTTAATCTTGGGGTCATGAGTTCTTAGCCCCACAATGGGTGAAGAGGTTGTTTAAATAAATAAAACTGGGGTGCCTGGGTGGCTCAGTTGGCTAAGCGTCCAACTTCGGCTCAGGTCACGATCTCACAGCCCGTGAGTTCCAGCCCCGCGTCAGGCTCTGGGCTGATGGCTCAGAGCCTGGAGCCTGCTTCCGATTCTGTGTCTCCCTCTCTCTCTGCCCCTCCCCCATTCATGCTCTGTCTCTCTCTGTCTCAAAAATAAATAAACGTTAAAAAAAAAATTTAAATAAATAAAACTTAAAAAAAAAAAGAATATCATTCCATTCATTCCATTCACAATAGCATAAAAAAGAATAAAATACATAGAAGTGAACTTAACAGAGTAAAAGGCTTATATACTGAAAACTATAAAACATTGTTGAAAGAAATTTAAAACCTAAATAAATGGAAAGAAAGCCCACGTTCATCAATCAGGAGACTTACTATTGTTAAGAGGGCATTACTCCCCAAACTGATCTACAGGTTCAATTCAATCCTTCTCTAAATGCCAGCTGGCTTTTTTGGAGAAATTGACAATCTAATCCTAAAATCCATATGGACATAGAAGAAACCCATAACAGCCAAAACACTCTTGAAAATGAACAAAATTAGAGGACTCACACTTTTTGGGTATAAAACTTCCTACAAAGCTATAATAATAAAGACAATGTGATAGTAGCATAAATATAGATATGTAGGTCAATGAAATAGAACTGAGAGTCCACATTTTTGACAAATTGAATTGTGCCAAGACAATTCAATGGGGGAAAGAATAGCCTTTTCAATACGTGGTGCTGGGATACAACTGGATATTCACATGCAAAATAATAAAGTTGGACACTCTCATTTTATACCTTATATAAAAATTAAACTCACAATGGATCATAGACCTAAATGTAAAAGCTAAAACTATAGAACTTGTTTATTTTTTTTTAAATTTTTAGAGTTTATTTCTTTATTTTGAGAGAGAGAGAGCACAATTGGGGAAGGGGCAGAGAAAGAGAGGAAGAGAGAGAATCCCAAGCAGGCTCCACATCACCAGTGCAGAGCCCGATGTGGGGCTCAAAGTCACAAACCACGAGATCATGACTTGAGCCAAAGTCGGACACTTAACAGACTAAGCCACCCAGGTGTCCTTTAAAAATTATAGAACTCCTTTATTTATTTTTTTTTTAATTTTTTTTAATGTTTATTTATTTTTGGGACAGAGAGAGACAGAGCATGAACAGGGGAGGGGCAGAGAGAGAGGGAGACACAGAATCGGAAACAGGCTCCAGGCTCTGAGCCATCAGCCCAGAGCCTGACGCGGGGCTCGAACTCACGGACTGCGAGATCGTGACCTGGCTGAAGTCGGACGCTTAACCGACTGCGCCACCCAGGCGCCCCTAGAACTCCTTTAAAAAAACAAAACAAAACAGGGGAAGAGCTTCATGGCATTGCATTAGGCAATGATTTCTTGGATATGACCACAAAAGCACAGGCAATAAAAGAAAAAACAGATAAATTAGACTGCATCAAAATGGGAAACCAGGCATCCAAGGAGAGTTAACAGAATGAAAAGGCAACCTACAGAATGGGAGAAAAGATTTGCAAATCATATATCTGACAAAGGGTCAGTCCAGAATATATAGAGAACTCCTACAACAATAAAAAGACATGTAATACAAATGGGGTATCTGGGTGGCTCAGTCGATTAAACGTCTGACTTCAGCTCAGGTCGTGATCTCATGGCTTGTGAGTTCAAGCCCTGCATCCGGGCACTGTGCTGACGGCTTAGAGTCTGGAGCCTGCTTCAGATTCTGTTCTCCCTCTCTCTCTGCCCCTCCCCCGCTCATGCTAGGTCTCTCTCTCTGTCAAAAATAAACATTAAAAAAATTTTTTTTAAATAAAAAAAATTTTTTTTTAATTTTTTAATGTTTATTTTTGAGAGAGAGACAGACAGGGCATGAGCAGGGGAGGGGCAGAGAGAGAGAGACACAGAATCTGAAACAGGCTCCAGGCTCTGAGCCGTCAGCACAGAGCCCAAAGAGGGGCTCGATCTCATGAACCTTGAGATAATAACCTGAGCTGAAGTCAAATGCTTAACCGACTGAGCCACCCAGACGCCCCACGTTAAAAAAATTTTTTTGAAGACATAGAATACAATTTAAAAGTGGGCAAACACCTTGGACAGACATTTGTATATCTTCCAAAGGAGATATACAAATGATCAATAAGCCTATGAAAAGATGCTCAACATCACTCATCACCAGGGAAATGCAAATCCAAACTACAATGAGATACCACCTCACACGCCCACTAGGATGGCTTTTATTAAAAAAACAAAAAGCCAACAGGAAGTAACAAGTGTTGGTGAGGATGTGGTGGAATTAGAACCCTGTACACTGTTGGTAGGAATGGAAAACTGTGCAACTATTACAGCAAATATTATGGCAGTTCCTTAAAAATTAAAGGTAGAATTACCATATGATCCAGCTCGTCCATATCTGTATATATGAAAGAATTGAAAGCAAGGGCCTCAAAAGATATTTGTGCATCCATGTTCGTAATAGCATTCTTCATAATACCAAGAGGTGGACGCATCCCAGGATCTATAAAGAGATGAATGGAGAAACAAAATGTAGCATATACATATAATGAATTACTATTCAGTTATTAAAAAGAAATAAGGGGCGCCTGGGTGGCTCAGTCGGTTAAGCGGCCGACTTTGGCTCAGGTCATGATCTCGCGGTCCGTGAGTTCGAGCCCCGCGTCGGGCTCTGTGCTGACGGCTCGGAGCCTGGAGCCTGTTTCGGATTCTGTGTCTCCCTCTCGCTGACCCTCCCCTGTTCATGCTCTATCTCTCTCTGTCTCAAAAATAAATCAAACGTTAAAAAAAAAAAAAGAAATGAAATTTTGACATATGGATTAACCTTGAGGACATTATGCTATGAGAAATAAGCCAGTGACAAAAAGACAAATACTATATGATTCCCATTTATATGAAATATCTAAAGTAGTCAATTCATAAAAACAGAAAGTTGAATGATGGCTACCAGGGACTGGGGAGAGGAGGAAGTGGGATATTGTTGCTTAATGAGAATAGGGTTTCAGTTTTACAAGACGCAAAGTTTCTGGAGATTGCACAACATAAATACACTTAAAATTACTGAACTGTACACTTAAAAATAATTAAGATGTTAAGTTTTACATAATGTTTACCACATTTTTTTAAAAAGTTTATTTATTTACTTTGAAAGAAAGAGAGCAAGCGCAGGCTAGAGAGGGGCACAGAAAGGGAGAGAGAATTCCGAGCAGGCTCCAGACTGCCAGTGCAGAGCCCGATGTGGAGCTCGAACTATGAACCATGAGATCATGACCTGAGCTGAATCTAGAGTTGGACACTTAACCTACTGAGCCACCCAGGTGACCCTACCACATTTTTTTAAGGCTATCAAAAAATGTTCAATTATTTTTTAAAAAATTTTGTTTAATGTTTATTTATTTTTGAGACAGAGAGAGAGCATGAATGGGGGGAGGGTCAGAGAGAGAAGGAGACATCGACTCCGAAGCAGGCTCCAGGCTCTGAGCTGTCAGCACAGAGCCCGACGCAGGGCTCAAACTCATGGACCATGAGATCGTGACCTGAGCTGAAGTCAGACGCTTAACTGACTGAGCCACCCAGGCACCCCATGTTCAATTATGTTCATAGAAATGCTAGGTGGTGAGATATGATCATTTACCAGATTTGAGACCATTTTTCTTTGTGACCCTTGACTTCTATACTTCAACCTCTACCTATGTCTACCTGGCTACTCAAAAAGTAACCTGAGAGCTATCATTTAAGCCCACTCATTTTGTGCCAGGCTTTTCCATATATAATTCTCAACAATTTCCTGGAGAGTAAACGAAAGCCCAGAAAGGCTCAGTGACATTTTCCAAGGTTGTGTGAGGGACGGTGCTACCATTGGGACCCATGGCCTGACCCTAAGGCCTGGGTTTTTCCCTACTGCACCTCACACCCAACAAACCAGCTTCATCCTAACAACCACATGGGGTACCTCAAAAGTTCAGATCCCCCTTAGAGATGAGTTTCTCTAGGTTTTGATGAATCTTGGATGTGTGAATCCTGTGATGAATAAATTAACAAAGAGTTGAATGGAAACAGGAATGAATACATTGAGAGACTAATGGAGCCTTGAATGGGTGGGGTCTGGAAGAGAGGGAAGACCAGAAGAGCCGAATGAGGAAATTACACTGTGCTAACCAGAGTTCTTACAGTCTGTCTTGCACCGAGGTCAGAGACCACTGGTGAAAGTCAAAGGGCCTGGAGCCATTGCCAGCCTGAGAAGAGGCCAATTCAGACACAGCTGTGTGTGCTCCCAGCCGCAAAGGAGGATCAGGCAAGATGCCCTAAGAGGGAAGGGTGACAGGGACACTGGGGAGACTTGGAGGGTTTCTGTGTAGGGGAGGGGCAGATCTTTCTTTAGAAAGATCACTCGGGCTCCTGCGGGGAAGGTGACTTTAAGGGGAAGAAATTGGAGGAGGGAAGACCTGACCCCAAACGTAGAGCCAAGGGAAGTGAATTCCAGAAAGATCTTTGGAAGGACCCTTGACCAGGGCTTTGTGATGATCAGCTGCATGTAGGGATGGTGAGAGAGAGGAAGGAGTCTCCATTATCCCTTCCGGTACTTCAGTGACAGAGCCCAAAGAACAGATCTTTTTTTCCCCCTTAAGTTTATTTATTTATTTTGAGAGTGAGAAAGACATGGGAGGGCGGTGCAGAGAGAGAGAGAGAGAAGAAAGAGAATTGCAAGCAGGCTGTCAGTACAGAGCCTGATGCAGGACTTGAACCTTCCAACCGTGAGACCATGACCCGAGCCAAAACCAAGAGTTGGAAGTTTAACCAACTGAGCCACCCAGGCGCCCCAGGAATAGATCTTTAATAGATGGGAGTGGGGGGTGAGGGTCAGTCAGGAACAGAGAAGCGGGCCGTCGCTTTTGCTGGGTGACTCCCATGACTCTAAGTGCTCGTCTATTTGGCTGTTCCAACATGAGGTACTTTTATGGTGTCCCTCGGGCCCAGGGGTCTCTGCACTTGTTTTCTGAAGGGTAAGGAAGGGGGATCTGCAGGGGTAAGTGCATTAGCCTAGCGAGAGCTGAGGAGGCCAAAGTCATGATGGGGTGGAGGGAGGAAATGGTTTTCAGAAAACAAGGAAGGAAAAAGTCTGAGGAAGCAAAAGTTAGAAACCACCGCTCTTTCTATTTCTGTATTATTTAACCAAATACCACCCCATGTGCTACATCCCTTGACCCTTATGGTGATCGGGAGAACTCAGCAGAGCTGGGCCACTGCCTTCCCCAGGCTAACAGGGTCTCTAAGCTAGCACGGGAACCCAGGTGATTCAGTGCCTCATGGAGCACTTGCTGGACACAGCATAAGGGCAATGGGTGTCCCTGGCCCCTTTCAGGGCAGGAGGGCATGGACCTGAACTATTTAATTACTTTTCTTGGGTAAAGTTGAGAGAAGATGAGGGCACAAAAACATCTCCTCCAATTTAGGAAGACTCCCCAGAGCCAGTCCACTAACCCCAGATCTCCTCTGAGCCCGCCAAGCCTGGAATGGGGAGCCCCCTTTGCCAACCTTCTCTACTTCAGCTTCAGGGAGCCTCAGGACCCCAGCACTAAAGGAACAGGGTCTGACCCCATCCTCCACTGTGGAGATGGGGAGACTGATGCAGGGGGTCAAGGGGGACGCCGTATGAGGCTCTCTCCCTTCAGGCCTCGGCCTCCCTAACCACAGCTCCATCTGCAGGGACACAAAGACATGGCCCGGAGACTGACACCACTCCTGCTGCTGCTGCTGGCCTGGACAGCCTCCATGTGCAGTGCCCGGAACAGGGTAGACCTGCTCAACGTCTGCATGGACGCCAAGCACCACAAGACAAAGCCAGGCCCCGAGGACAAGTTGCATGACCAGGTATGGCCGCAGTGTGGCTCGAGTTGGGGAGGGGGTTGGTTCTAATGGGGAAGAGGAAGTCAGGGTGGTGGGGGAAGGGCGGACTGATCAGATAGCCCCACATCCTGAGTTACTGCTGTGGGAGAAGATGAAGGTAGGGTGGGGGGTATTGGTTAAGGTGATTTAGGGGTGGCCTCCTCAGAGGATAATGTCAGCAGTGATATGATATGATCACTTGTTGAGCACTTACTACGCGTTGAGTTTTCTGCACGTGATTTCACATTCCCAGTAGTCATTCAATGTAGGAGATCATGTTCTCCCCCATAGAACCCAAATGAGGAAATGGGCCCGGAGAAGCAGAGGACACACAGAAGATCTGGACATAAGCAGCCCCTGTGGTGTGGGGGTAGGACTGGGGTGGGCACTCCCAGCATGTTAGAGGGTAAGAGACTGTCGGGGAGGATGGTTCTCACTACCTTCATCACGTGCCAGTCCATGAGGCGTCAGAGTAGAGGACAAGGGCTCTTACGCCTGTGACCCAGGGGCACGATTGCTGCACATTCACTCACTCTATACAAGCGGATGCCAGTTGGTTTCAACTCTATTGAGACTCCATGTCTCCTTTTTTTCTGAAATAAAATTCAAAGCCAATAGGACCTATTTGTACATTTAACTTAAAGAATATCAACATGACTCTATCTATCTGTAATACAAAAGAGAAGCACAAAGAAAGCAATTTATAATAAAATATATTTCCATATGTCAATTCTCTGATATGACTACATTAGAAATCACTATCAAATGGCATGTTTGCTTTTTAAGTTACTGCTTTATTTTCTTTAATCTTTATTTATTTTTGAGAGAGAGAGAGAGAGAGAGAGAGAGAGAGAGAGAGAGAGAGAATGCAAGAGGGGAAGGCGCAGAGGGAGAGAGGGAGACACGGAATCTGAAGCAGGCTCCAGGCTTTGAGCTGTCAGCACAGAGCCTGACGTGGGCTCAAACTCATGAACTGTGAGATCATGACCTGAACCCAAGTTGGGAGCTTAACCAACTGAGCCACCCAGGTGCCCCAATGTTTGCTTTTATTCACCAAATCACTAGGAATGGGGCAGCTACAAATGAAGATGGATACAGGTATATTCTGTTGACAACTCAAATGCTATAAGATACTCTATGCAGTGTTGCCATTGATGACATAATTTTCTAAAATAGTGAATAATTCCAGTAAAACAAAACACATAGCACGGCCTTCCTTTTCATAGTATTTACAGTCCTGAAAAAGCCAGTCTCTATTAAAGCTTACTAAAATATGATGCATCTATATGTAAGATGGAGTTTAGATTTAGGAAATCATAAATAGGTCTTTCATTTATTTTTTTCAGCAAATATTTTTACGGGCTTGCCACATGTCTGGCACTGGCCTCGCCGCTGGGGACACAGAACTTAATACAGACCAAGAAGAAAGTTATTCAACATACATTACTGCATAGGTCATTCCCTTCCTCCTTTGCTCAAAATGCCACTTTCCAGTGAGGCTTTTCACAACCACCTTCTTTAAAATTTCAACAATCACCCCATACTCCACATCCCTATTCCCTGCTGTAATTTTCTCCATGTAATTGATCATATCCTGACACCATATTTTTTCTCTTTTAGTTTCTCACTGTCTGTCTCCATTGATCAGGATGTAAGTTCCATGAACACATATTTCTGTTTTGCTTTCTACCGTATTCTCAGCATCTAGAACAGTAACTGGCATAGAAATAGGTACTCAGTAATTATTTTTTAATGAATAAATAAATCAAAGAACTCCCTATAAAATATGAAGGGCTGCTTAAACGATAGCTATTGTCCTCCCAAGACAGGGTTTCTCTCCGGCTCCCACAACCCCTGATTACACTGTTGTAACTAAGTCTCCCCCAAGATGGGAGCTCCTGGAGGCCAAGGACAGAGGGGTCTTCACAGTAAACTTTCCTAGGACAACCCACCTGAGGCAGGAGACCAAGCACCAAATAGGGAGAGGCTGAAGGTTTTGGTGGGGGAGGCATGTGTTCCAGTGTCTTCTCCACCCAGTGCACTCCCTGGAGGAAGAACGCCTGCTGCTCACACAACACCAGCCAGGAGCTGCACAAGGACCCCTCCCTCTTGTATAACTTTAACCTGGACCACTGCAGCAAGATAGAGCCTGCCTGCAAGCGCCACTTCATTCAGGACAACTGTCTGTACGAGTGCTCACCCAATCTGGGGCCCTGGATCCAGGAGGTACGGGCCTCTCCCTCACCCCAGCCCAGCGGGCTGCCATCCTGCTCGGTCAAGGTGGTCAAGGCGGTGGCTGCCAGCACCCCTGGCTGAGAGGAGCCCTCCCTCCCCCCCTCCCCCCCAGGTGAACCAGAGCTGGCGCAAAGAACGCTTCCTGGACGTGCCCCTGTGCAAGGAGGACTGTCAGCAATGGTGGGAGGACTGCCGCACGTCCTACACCTGCAAGAGCAACTGGCACAAGGGCTGGGACTGGAGCTCAGGTGAGGGCCTGGGGGTGCGGAGATGGAGGCGGGGTCCGAGGATCTGGGGTTGGGTGCGGATCTCCAGGGGGGTGGCCAGAAATGGGCTCTGGGCTCAGGGGCTGAATGTCTGTGTCCACCCTCTCTCCCCATGCAGGATCGAACAAGTGTCCGGCCGGAGCCACCTGCCGCACATTTGAGACCTACTTTCCCACACCCGCAGCCCTGTGTGAGGGCATCTGGAGCCACTCCTACAAACTCAGCAACTACAACCGAGGGAGCGGCCGCTGCATCCAGATGTGGTTCGACCCGGCCCAGGGCAACCCCAACGAGGAGGTGGCCAGGTTCTATGCCTTGGCCATGAGTGCGGGGGCCATGTCCCATGGGATTGGGCTTCTCCTGCTCAGCCTGGTCCCTATGCTGCACCTCTGGCTCCTCAGCTGAGTCCAGCCCTCCTCAGGCATGTTCCCTGCATGTCCCCAGTTTTGATGACCAAGCTTGGCTCAGCATAGCTCTCACAAATGAGGGAGTGCTAAGCATGCCTCCATTCATTATCCATCCTTCTACCATCCGGTTCCTGCTTCCATGGTGGGTCTTGGGATTTCTCTGACAGTCAGTTCAAACAAAGAGACAGACCTATCCGTGTCTGATGAATGGTTTTGGTTTCAGTAAGTAGAGGACAGCTTCCATAGCTTTTGTATTCCTTCAGATGAGAGAAATGAGACTTGGGTTTGAATCCTAGCTCTGCTACTGACTATGGAAAGTGAAGCAGTTGCTTGTCTACATTAAAGCTTAGTTTTTTCCTCAGTAAAATGGGCATAATAATCCTTCTTTCCCTCAGAGTTGTGAAGTACAAAGGAGATGTTGCCAGAAAGCATGTGAGCCCAGCGTCTGCGCCCTTAATAGTCCTCGGGATCCTGTTCTCTTGTAGCCAAAAATGAGAGACAGGTCCAGGACTGTGTTACTTGTATTGGTCCCCAAATATCCCCACTTTCTCTCAGGTCCTGTCTGCCTGGCTTTGTGGTCAGCTCTGCTGGGGATGGAAGTCCAGGGAAGGCTCTGGATTCCCAGTGGGGGTGAAAAAAATTCTCACGTGATGTGGATTGAAGGGACAGAGTTGAGACTAGGAACCCTCAGAGGAGGAAGACAGAAGAATGGGGAGGGCAGTGTGGGAGGTTCCTGGAAGATGAAATGTTCAAGAGTCTAGAATTGGTTTAGCCCTGCTGCAGCCAGGAGGATGGGAAAAGGTTGGAAAGTCTTGGGGCTTCCCAGGGGCAGAAGCCTGGCCTCTCCTCTGGCGATTGCTAGATATGCCTGTTCTGTCTCTACACATCCCCCAGGAACTAGGCCTGAGTAGATCTCTGGGTCTCCCTCTTGCCTTTTTCCCCTGGGGAAGTCTTTGTCTCTACATCCCCCTCACAGTCATCTCCAAAAAGGCACAGGTACCTCTCTGAGACACCAGGCAGGTGAGTGATCAAGCTAGGACTAGAACCCAGGTATGAAGTTTCCTAGTCCAGGTCTCTTCCCTCCCCACCGCACCAGGGTGTCCCCTTCATGGCAGACTCACCTTCCCTCATTTCTAGAGCTGAGTGACGGGAAAAGTCGGGCAGTTTGGAGGATGACTTATGGAGTTCCTGGAGGGGTCTAGAGACACTGTTGGGTGTGTGTGGGGGGGTGTCTCTTAGTCACTATATTTACCTAGTCGGGAAAGCCCCCACAGAGCCCATTCCGTAGCCCAAGCTTTGGTCCAGCTGGGTTAAACCAGTGCTTATTGGAAATAGAGGAAGGAGCTTGTAGGGACTGACCCAGGCACAGGTTCAATTGAGCAAAGTGAAAGTTCTCTCCCAGGTTAAAGGGGATCGGCCGACGGTGGCTCAGGAGTTGGCAGCAGTGGGAGCCAGGATGGAGGCCTGCGCCTTTAAGGAGCCAAGGGGCGGAGGGGCGGGGCAGGAAGCGGACTCCCGGGAGACGCTGCCACCGGCTAGGTCTTTTTTGGGGGGAAGGGGCGGGCCAGACCCTCCATGGGCCCCGCCCCCTTTCCGGCGACCGTGTTCCCCCCACCCTCCCGCCAAGGGCGGGCGTCTGAGCGGGGGTGTCTGAACGTACCCGATAAGGGGAGCTCCCGGTTCGGCGTCCCGCCCACAAAGGCTCAAGTTTGTTGTCTTGGAGGGAGTAGCTGGGGCGGGGGCGGGTGCTAATAATACCCGTTCGTTCAGGCGCAGCGCTTTACAGTTTACACAGCTGTCACCTTCGTTACTCCTTAATTAATAATAAAAATAGCCGCGGTTCTGGAGCGCCTACTGGATGCCAGGCCCCGTGCCGAGAGCTTTACAAGCAGTCCCATTGAGTCGGCCAAATAACATTGCCCCCACTTTGCAGAGCGGGAAGGCGAGGCGCGGAGAGGTGCCGTGACTGGCCCGAGGTCACTCGGCGGGTCAGCGGCTCCAGGATCGGGGGGCCGGGGTAGGCGGGGCGCGGGTGCTACCCCCGGCTCCGCGGAGAGCCGCGGGGGCGGAGCGGCGGGCGGGGCGGAAGGCGAGGGGGGGTGCGGCGGCTGAGGATGGCCATCTTAAGTGGCCGTTGAGAGTCAAGGGCCGCTTCCCCCGGGAAGGGGGCATCGGAGCGGCCCAGGAGGTGGGGGTCTGCGCGCGGCGGCTGCGGTTCTGGGGAGAAGTCGGGAGCCCAGGGGTTTGAGGGAACTTTCTTCCAGAGGGCAGTTGGGGGTGCTGATCTCGGACTGCTGAACCCCTCAAGGCCCCGGCCTGCGTGTATGGGGGATGGTGCCAGGGAACTTGGCAGGGAGGGGGGAAGGGCTCTGCCCCGGCTGCGAGGGGCTGCCAGGGACTGTGCCCGGGGATTCGAGGACACTGGACCTTGTCTGAGGGTGTATGGGAGACCAGGTCTCAATGGGGGGAGGGGGGATTTACCCCCGCGGGATTTGTTGGGGGCTGGCCCCAGTGGAGTTTGAGGGTTCAGGTCTAAGAGGGGCCTAGATTTCATGGGAGTTGAAGGTCCAGGCCGCTCGGATAACGAGGATAAGGATGGGAAGAGGTTCATCTTGGATCCCTCGCGGGTTTTGGGAACTCGACCCTTTGAGGCTGCAAGGGGAGCTGAATGGAAAGGATTTGGGGTGGAATTAGACGATTATGGGAATTGGGGGTCATATCATTGCGATTACTAGAGACGGCTTATTTTCCGGAGAGGGGGCCGGGATCCAAAGTGTCCAGAAGCAGGGTGGGGGAACTTGACCTTCGTTGGGGGGAGGGTTGGGGGCTGGATCTCTAAGGGGTGGTGATGGCAGGGCAGGATCATTGTGGGTTTGGGGGATCCTGCGGGAATGTGGGGGCCATCATCCCCGCGGGGAAGATGGTGGGGGTAGGGGCGGGCCGGGCCGTGGGCCGAGCGGAGGGGGAGGGGGCCGGCCGCCGGCTCAGCGCTGCGCTCCTGCCCCTCCCCCGCCGCCTCTGAACAAACTTTTCTTTCTCTTCAAGTTGAGGCCGGCGCTGCAGGCGGCGGCGGCGCGGCGAACAAGGCGGCCTGCGCGGCAGAGCGCGGAGCCCCAGACATCCAGCTCGGTCCGGTCCGCGGATCCTCAGGGCCCGGGCCCGGGCCCGCCCCCAGCCTCAGCCCCGAGCGTCCCGGGGCGGATGGCGCGGGGCGGTGGGCGCGAGAGGCGCTGAGCCCTGCCCGCGCCATGGCTTCGGCTTGCGGGGCGCCGGGCCCGGGGGGTGCGGGGCCCGGGGGCGCGCTGGGCAGCCCGGCCCCCGCCTGGTACCACCGCGACCTGAGCCGAGCTGCCGCCGAGGAGCTGCTGGCCCGGGCAGGCCGCGATGGCAGCTTCCTGGTCCGAGACAGCGAGAGCGTGGCGGGCGCTTTCGCGCTCTGTGTCCTGTGAGTGGGCTGGGGCTCCTGGCGGGCGGGGGCACGGCCCAGGTTCCTTGCATGTGCGCGGAGGGCCTGGGACAGTGGGATGTCTGAGCCCTCCACAGTGGGAGCTTTGGCTTTAAGCCGGGACTGAGGAAGGATGCAGGGGGCACTTCCTTCCTGCTGTGTCTGGGGACACTTTCTGGGGCAGGGAGGGCAGAGTATGTGGGGTCCTGTTAAACAGGGTGGCTGTAATAGGGAACAATGCAGGGAGTCTCTGGCAGACCCCCTCAGGCACCCTCCAGGCAGGAGGGGCGGGAGGGAGTGAGGATGTGTGGATGTGTGTTCCGGTGTTATATGCAGTTCTGTTTATACAGGGATTGGGTGTTAAGGGCTGTAGGCATAGAGGGAGTTGGGGCCAGAGAGACTGATGGATATGTGAGGATGCCCAGCAGCTTCCTGTGCTGCCAGGACTGAAATTGGGACCTGCCTGGCGGTAGATGTCTGGGGCTGGTGGAGCAGAGTGGTGTTGAGAAAAGGGGATGTGAGGCTATATGGGGCCATGTCATTATTTCATGAATCAATGGGCGCGTTCATGTGCCCTGGCTCTGGGCCCCAGTCCTGGGCATCCTGGCTGCCCTAGCCCTGAGCTATGGGTGCTGAATGTGGAGCCAGACTTGGCAGCTCCCCGAACGGATCTCATCCTGTGCCTGTACCCATCAGCTGTATGTGGCAGTGGTGCCGGGTGCGTTTGGTATGTTTGGAGCCTTCTCCCTGAGCTGTCTCCTGCGCCCCGTGGTCTGATACTAGGTGGGCTCCTGTGGGCCTTGTTAGGATCTGGTAATATTCCTCAGCCTCGTGAACCCTCCCAAACCCCTGTCGTTCTGTCCCTTACCCCTCTGTTCTCCTCACTTCTTTGGGGGTACATGGGCATAGGCCAGTGGTTCTCAGTTGGGGTTGATTTTACCCCTCAGGGACACTTGGCGATGTTTGGAGACATTTTTGGTCGTCACAAGTGGGATATAGTGCTACTGGCATCTAGTGGGTAAAAGCCAGTGATGCCACCACACATCCTAAAATGCACAGGATAGTCCCTCACAACAAAGAACTATGCAGTCCAAAATTTTAGTAGCGTTGGCATTGAGAAGCCCCGGCCTGGGCAGTGGACTGGAAGATGAAGAGGAAGGGGTCCCCTAAATCTCAGCTTATGCACCAAGTCTGACGTCCAGTAGGAGAGACTAACAAGGGACAGCTTCCGCAGATAAATATCATGGAGTCCTGCCTCCCAGCCCCCTCTGAGGCATATCCCCTAATTAGAGAGGGGAGGGAGGCAGGTGCTGGGTCAGCTGTTGAGTGGGAGGGGGACAGCTGGGCCTGTGTCTAGGGGAGGAACATTATTGTCCCAGGAGGGGAGAGCCCAGACTCCACTGCCAGGGGAGGAGATGGGTGGAGTGAGGGTCTGTCTGTGTCAGGGGCTTTGGCTTTGCCAGCTGACTCTGGCTCCTCCTTGCATCTCTACAGCCCGGGGATGGGGAGAGGGGTCAGAAATGGGATAGAAGCCTGGGGGTAGGTGATGAGAAACATACTTGCTTACCTGTAGGTGGGTAACGTTTCCGGACACACCCCTGCGCCAACAGGCACAGGCAATCTGACCGGCAGGTCGGGATACAGGCACTGGGCTCTGCCCTGGCTTTAAGTCCCAGCTCTGCCTTTTACTTAAAAGCAAGGCAAATCACTTTTCCTCTTTGAGCCTATTTCCTCTTCTGGAGAATGGGGTTGGTGCTCCTATCTGTACCAAAATGTGAGGATTAAATGAGATCACATCTATGGGGTGTTGAGTACCCAGCCTGTCATGCAGACAGGGCTCAGTTCATGGGATGCTAGTGTTATAAATACAGACCCACAGTCCACAAACAGTGCACAAAGACACCCGCACATAATGTTGCCCCGTCAGCATCCAGGAGAGTGCCCAAAGGGGGCTTACTTGAGGTGGGGGATGGACTGTGGCCAAGGTGTAGGGTCTCCTCAAACAGGCATTCGGTCCTCTGGTGCCAGTGCCCCCCTCCTGCCCAGCACACACATGGACCCGGGTGGCACCGTTGAGCAAGCCTACCTGAGGTATGGCTGCAAGAGAGAGTCTTTGCCCCCATTGAGTGTGGCCTGTGCTGCCCAGGCCTGGCTCAGCTGTCACCTGCTCAGCTGTTGCTGCCACCTGTCAGTACCCCTCTTGTCCCTCCTCAGTTTGGGGCTCTTACAAGCCTGGGTCTGCCACAGGGGACCCCTTGGGTCAACCCAATTTCCTGGTATCTGGGGAAGGGGGACAGAAGCTGGGATACCCGCATACTCCCTAGCAAAAATGGCCCCTGACACAGCCAGCTCCAGTAGAGACAGACACCAACGTAAACACAGACAGCAGGGACACACGTGTGTTAGCACATCGCCTATGCATGCAAACAGAGGTTACCAAGCTTCTGAGGATTCTTACTCTGGCGGGGGGCCAGAGCTGGTACCACAGCCCGAGGGGCTGTTTAGACAGCTGTGGAGGCCACAAAAGAGCTGCCTGTTGCTTCCCGGGCCCTGTGGTGGGTGTGGAGCCTATGTAGGTCTGGCTGGGGTGGGCGGGGGGGATGCTGCTGGTCATTCCTGCTCTTGTTGGCAACACTAGCAGGCTAGAAGTAGACTGGCCTCATCATTAACCCTGTGTGGACTGAGTAAAGGATTTTAGGAAAACTAACCTGAGTGGGCTGGGGGCTGAGCCTGGTGGCAGGAGGAGAGGGTACCTTGGGGCTTAGACCCCAGCTTGGGGGCGACAGATTCTGACCCCTGCTTTGTCATCAGATATCAGAAGCATGTGCATACATACAGAATTCTACCTGATGGAGAAGACTTCCTGGCCGTGCAGGTAGGAGCTTGGACCCCGACCCCTGACCTTGATTCCAGCCTGTGACTGGCTGATTTTTCTCCCACCCTTGCTTGCTCGCAGACCTCGCAGGGCGTGCCCGTGCGCCGCTTCCAGACCCTGGGTGAGCTCATCGGCCTGTATGCCCAGCCCAACCAGGGCCTTGTGTGCGCCCTGCTGCTCCCTGTGGAGCGGGAGCGAGAGCCAGACCCACCGGACGACCGTGATGCCTCAGGTGCTGCCTGCTGTGCCATGTGCATATGTCTTCTCTGTCCCTTCCCCAGACACCACCTGCTTCTTCCCATCGCATCTTCTCAACCTGCCTGCCCTAAAGCCCCTTGCCCCTAACCATGATGCCAGAGCCCTTTACCCCACCTCCGTGGAAGTCTCTGATAGCCACAGCATCCCCCCATACTTCAATGAGAATGGGGAGGCCCAAACAGCTGCCCCACTGACTCCTGTCCACAGATGGGGAGGATGAGAAGCCCCCACTGCCCCCACGCTCTGGCTCCACCAGTATTTCTGCCCCCATGGGGCCCGGCAGCCCCCCAGCAGCCCCTGAGACTCCCACAACTCCAGCTGCTGAGAGGTAAGACCGCAACCCCCTACGCCGAACAGGAATTCCCTTTCTCCTCTGGGAACTTGTCCTCATCAAAGGTAGAGAGACCTTCCCAGCCCCCACTCCTCCCCTAGGGACCTTCATCCCATCTCAGCCCCAGAGGTAGACTCCCTGATCCATGGTGCTCCAATTGCTACCAGTACTATCTCCTCTAGGGATAGGGTGGCGGTGCTGGGACAGGGTCAGCAAATTCTTCACTGACTTTTTAACCCCTCCCTGAAGTGCTCCCAATGGGCTGAGTACTGTCTCGCACGAGTACCTGAAGGGTAGCTACGGACTGGACCTGGAGGCTGTGCGAGGTGGAGCCAGCAACCTGCCCCATCTTACCCGCACCCTGGCCACCTCCTGCCGGAGGCTGCACAGGTACCTGGGGCACCCAACACCATGCATGCAGCCTCTCCTCTGACCTGTCCTCGCCTGCCCCCTTGCTGCACAAATGCTCTGACCTCTGATCTCTGGCCCTGAACAGGGAGCCAGCTGTTGCCTCCTGACTTGTCCTCACCTGAACCCTCGTATCCTCATCGTAGAGGCTGAAGCTGCACACTCAGCCCCCCTTCCCCATACTTGGGTCGGGGTAGGGAGTTCTGACCTACTGTCTCCCCTAGTGAGGTGGACAAGGTCCTGTCGGGCCTGGAGATCCTGTCCAAGGTGTTTGACCAGCAGAGCTCTCCCATGGTGACCCGCCTTTTGCAGCAGCAGGTGGGATTGTGAGGAGACCTGTGGGGAAGGGGTTCATGTTCCGGGTTGGGTGGGGGACCTCCTGCGCGGTGGCCGCATGTTACAAACCTTATTCTTTCTCTGTGCAGAATCCACCACAGACTGGGGAGCAGGAACTAGAGAGCCTGGTGCTGAAGCTGTCCGTGTTAAAGGATTTTCTGTCAGGCATCCAGAAAAAGGTAGCCTTAACCCTGACCTCTGACCTGACCTAGCAGTCTCTGAGTATTTGCGTTGGCCTAACTGATCTCAACTCTGAATCTACAGTTTAGCATTGATCCCACATCAACTGTGTCCCCCCTGGCCCCAGCTTTCAGCATGTCCCCTGACCTTGCCCGCCCTTCCCTGCCCTTCCCCACTCCAGGCCCTAAAGGCCCTGCAGGACATGAGCTCCACAGCCCCGCCGGCGCCGCTGCAGCCATCCATACGTAAGGCCAAGACCATCCCCGTGCAGGCCTTTGAGGTACACGGAGGGGTGACAGGTGGGGCCTCATGGGCCAAAGAGCAGCTGGAGATGAAGGGGGTGTCACCTGCCCCGAGGTCTTTTCAGCAGCCTACACACCTCCTGACCTGCAGGTGAAGCTGGATGTGACCCTGGGTGACCTGACCAAGATTGGGAAGTCACAGAAGTTCACGCTGAGCGTGGATGTGGAGGGTGGGAGGCTGGTGCTGCTGCGGAGACAGCGGGACTCACAGGAGGACTGGACGACCTTCACACACGACCGCAGTGAGCCAGGGCGCAACCTGGGGTGGTGGGCAGGGTGGCCTCCAGGCCTTGGTGCACAGGCCAGTGTAACCATCCTCCTCCCCTAGTCCGCCAGCTCATTAAGTCCCAGCGTGTCCAGAACAAGCTGGGAGTTGTGTTTGAGAAGGAGAAGGATCGGACGCAGCGCAAGGACTTCATCTTTGTCAGTGCCCGGGTGAGTGGCATGTTGGGCTAGGCCCTGGGGGCTGCAGGGGTCCCCTGTGGGATGGGAAGAGAGGGAACACGTGATGTAGGCCGGTCATCCCTCTTGGCAGGAGTGGGTCTGACAGGGTAGAGAGTATGTGTACTGAAAATGGGTGGCCTGAGGGCAGAGTCAAATGGTCATTCAGTGAGCGTTTATAGAGCACCTGTTGTCTGCTTGAGTAGTGGATATGCAGTGAACTCACAGGCATGACCTCATGGGACCTACCACCTACCAGGGACCTCCCCTAACTAGTTGCTGTCCCCCCAGAAGCGGGAGGCCTTCTGCCAGCTGCTGCAGCTCATGAAGAACAAGCACTCGAAGCAAGATGAGCCCGACATGATCTCTGTCTTCATAGGCACCTGGAATATGGGTCAGGCCCAGGTTGGGGCTGGGATGGGAGAGAGGAATAGCCCCAGGTCAAGGGCCTGACCACCCCGATCCCCTTCGCCTCCAGGAAGCGTACCACCTCCGAAAAACGTGACATCTTGGTTCACATCGAAGGGTCTAGGGAAAACCCTGGATGAAGTCACAGTGACCATACCCCATGACATCTATGTCTTTGGGACCCAGGAGAACTCGGTGGGCGACCGCGAGTGGCTGGACCTACTACGCGGGGGCCTCAAGGAGCTCACAGATCTGGATTACCGCCCGGTGAGGGAGTCATCTTGTCCAGGCCCCCTCCTCACACACCACCCCAAACTATCCTGCTTCACCTCATGGGTGACCCTGGGGAGTACAACTTGACTGGCTTTTCCCTTGGTCCCTGGGCATATCCTTTAGGAGGTCTAACCCGAGTCCTTCATGCTATGGGAACGTGCTGTGTTTCTCTCTGGCACCTCAGGAAAAAGGGGTAGTGGAGACCTTCCTATCCTATGACTGACGGAACAGTCTGTAGTGTAGGTGGGGGTGGGAGGGGAATGCAGACAGTGGCCCCGGTCCAGGGCCGGAGTGACCCCAAACCCTCTACCCAGATTGCCATGCAGTCACTGTGGAACATCAAGGTGGCTGTGCTGGTCAAGCCAGAGCACGAGAACCGAATCAGCCACGTCAGTACATCCAGCGTGAAGACTGGCATCGCCAACACCCTGGGTGAGCAGGGTGGGCAGGGTCCCTCTGTCCATGCCTCCTGCTTCCTCTCCAGCTCACAGTCTCCTCCTTTTGGTTGCTCCCAGCTTTTTTATATAGAGAGCCCTCCCCCCATTTTTTTTAAAGTGTGTTTATTTTGAGAGAGACAGTTAGCAGGAGGGAAGGGGGCAGGGCAGAGAGAGAACCCCAAGCAGGCTCTGTGCTGTAAGCACGGAGCCTGATGTCGGGCTCAAACTCATGAAATGTGAGATCATGACCTGGGCTGAAATCAAGAGTCAGAGGCTCAACCCACTGAGCCACCCGGCACCCCTATAGAGAGCCCTTTGTAAAGCATATTCATATTCTAAATCTCTTCCAGCACCACTAGGAAGGCAGGGCCAGGATAATAGAGGTATTTATCCCTCTATTTCATAGATGATAAAACTCAAAAAGACCCAAAAAACACTCAGGCCCAGAGTCGCTGAGTGACCTGTCCAAGGTCACACGACTAGTACGTGGAGGAGCTGGCAGAGTGCCCCAGGTCTCTTGGTTTGTGGTCCAGTGGTCCCTCAGCATAGATTCTGCTCAGAATCTGCAAGTCCTTTCAGCGTCACCTTTGGGATCCCCTGTGATCTCCAGGGGCCTTGTTCACACATGCAGAGAAACTCGAGCCATCCAGATGGACCGCGTGTGATCTGTGTGGCACCTCCAGGGAAGGAGGGGATGTGTTCAGGGGCCTGCCTGCCTCATAAGCCTCTGTGGGGGGGAGTTGGGAGAACCTTCCCACTGCTGCTTCGAGGGGCAGAGGGGAGACTTGGGAGCCCTCTAGATGTGACACAGGCCTTCTTTTCTTGCTTGCCCTGACAGGAAACAAGGGGGCTGTGGGTGTCTCCTTCATGTTTAATGGCACCTCATTTGGCTTTGTGAATTGCCACCTTACCTCGGGAAATGAGAAAACTGCCCGGTGAGGGGGGCACCTCCCCAAGTCTTTACCCTCATTCCCTATTCACCTGAGACCTATTCCCTTTCCCATATCCCAGTCCATGACCCATCTACCTCCCTGTCCCCAGAGAGCCCCTTCTCCCTTGTCCAAACCCGAGACTGCTGTCTGTTCCTGACCTTGATCTTGTTCCCAGCTATATCCTCTGTCCTCAGGCACCCTGACCCCTACCCCGTACCTGACCCCAGAGACTTACCTTTCTGCCAGTCCCTGGCTTGTGACCCTGGAGGCCTCCCCCCACCCCACCATAGGCGGAACCAGAACTACCTGGACATCCTGCGGCTGCTCTCACTAGGTGACCGACAGCTCAGTGCCTTTGACATCTCTCTGCGTTTCACTCACCTCTTCTGGTTTGGGGACCTCAACTACCGCCTGGACATGGATATCCAGGTGCAAACAGGGCCAGTGGTGACTGCTAGGGGAGCTGGGCTGGGGGGCCAGTTGGGATCCTACCTCTGACTCTGGCTGTGGCTCAAGAGGGAGTTTTCAGTCTTTGTGTCCTCACCACAGGAGATCCTGAACTACATCAGCAGGAAGGAGTTTGAGCCCCTGCTCAGAGTGGACCAGCTCAACTTGGAGCGTGAGAAACACAAGGTCTTTCTTCGATTCAGTGAGTGTGGGCCTGTCAGGAGGTCTCTAAGGGATGGGGCCTTTATGATACTTCTGGGTCTTCAGGGCCCTGATTCATACTTGTTCCCTGCCTTTCCTAGGTGAGGAGGAGATCTCCTTCCCACCCACCTACCGCTATGAGCGGGGTTCCCGGGACACATATGCCTGGCACAAGCAGAAGCCAACTGGGGTGAGTGAAGGGAACGAGGCAGGTTTGGGGGCGGAGTGCTTGGGAGACTCCCCTGGCCTGCAGTGAATCAAGGGTACATGTCTGGTCAAGGGTCTGGGCAGTTACTATTCCAGCTTCTGTGGTTCCTCTGAGGCCTTAGGGGTGATCCTGAGTGTTACAAGGACCCAAGAAGGGAGGTAGGCACGGGGGCCTGGTGTGGTGGGAGTATAGGGCCTCATCAGCTCTGCAGCTCTGGGTGGGGCTCATGCTGAGCAACCCCAGCTATTGAACCTGACCATGCTGCCATCTCCTGCCCTAGGTCCGGACCAATGTGCCTTCATGGTGTGACCGGATTCTCTGGAAATCCTACCCTGAGACCCACATCATCTGCAATTCCTATGGTCAGAGTTTCCCGGACAGGGTGATGGGCAGTCCTGGGTGGCCACTGTCCTGACACTGCCCTAGCTTTGGGAAATGGGAACAGAGAATAAAGAGCTTGCCCCTGAGCTCCCATTCCTATCCCAGGTTGCACTGATGACATCGTCACCAGCGACCACTCCCCTGTGTTTGGGACATTTGAGGTTGGAGTTACCTCTCAGTTCATCTCTAAGAAAGGTGACTATTCTGGATGTGCTTGTGGGTGGATAGGCACCGGTGGTGGCCTGGGGATGTGCATAGGATTGAATATATCTGTGCGTGTGTTTGGGTGTATACACGGACATGCGGTAACGTTTCTGAACGTGTGCTGTGTGAGGGTGTCTGTGCCTGGGGCATCATGAGAAGTACATGTCCATGAGTGTGTGTATGTGTGTGAGTGTAAACGTGCATGTGTATCTGTATTTGCCTGGAACCACACGTGTACCGCTGAGTGTGCCTGGTAGCGTGGGGGATTGTTGGCAAGCCATCCCTGCAGCCATTCTCATCCTCCAGCCCTTTCTTAGATGGTCTCTCATCCTTGGGTTGTCTGTTTGCCCTGGCCCATGGTCTGGGCTTTGGGGTTTCCCCATTGGTTGCTGGGGATTGGGGAGGCCCCTCCTGGCCTTCCTTCCTGGGGCCTCCCTTACTGCTCTGCCATGACCCCTGATTTCTTTCCAGGGGTCAGTCTCTGTCCTGTTCCTCCTGTCACCCTCTCAGCCCTCCTGACTGCCTTCTTCCCTTTACCCCTCAGGTCTCTCAAAGACTTCAGACCAGGCCTACATTGAGTTTGAGAGCATTGAGGCCATTGTGAAGACAGCCAGCCGCACCAAGTTCTTCATTGAATTCTATTCCACCTGCCTGGAGGGTCAGAGGGGGGCCCCGGGCTGGGTGTGGCCTGAGAGGGATGGGGAGCCAGAGGTGCCCAGACAGTCAGCCCCCTTGGATAGGGGGAAGGGAAGCCGGGAGGTGGCACTCAGTCGGGTATTCCCCAACCTCACCCCAGAGTACAAGAAGAGCTTTGAGAATGATGCCCAGAGCAGTGACAACATCAACTTCCTCAAGGTGCAGTGGTCTTCACGCCAGCTGCCCACGGTGAGGCTTTTGTCAGGGCCTGGGCTTGTAGGTGAGGGCACAGGGAGAGGTGCAGTGGAGCATGTCCATGTATGTGCGTGCACATGGGTGTGCGTGCATATGTGGGTGCGTGCATGCGTGTGTATGTGCATGTGTGTGGTGGGGGCTGGGCATGAATGAGGATGAGGGCATTTGCTTTATTTGAGGGGTGTGGGACCAAGTTATAGGTTCATTTATTTGTTCACAAAAACTTTTCGAGTTTTTGCTAAATGTCAGGTCCTGTGTTAGCCATTGAGGATGCAGAAAATTAATTACGATGCTGTTAAATGTTATGAAGGGCCCATGTGGGGCTGTGTCCTCTGTGTTAAGGATTTGAGATTTTTCCCTAGTAGATGAGTGGGAGTGAGCATGGACGAGCCTAAGGGTAGGGATGAGTGGTGTCGGGTAGGAGGGGATGGTTGGGGCTTTGTTCTTCACTGGGTCTCTCTGCTCCTTAGCTCAAGCCAATTCTGGCTGACATCGAGTACCTGCAGGACCAGCACCTCCTGCTCACGGTCAAATCCATGGATGGCTACGAATCCTATGGTGAGGGGTGAGGGGTGAGGGGTGCCAAGGGGCACAGAAAGCCAAACAGAGACCTAGAAAGGTTTGGCAATCTGCTGGTCTACCCCATCTGCCCTTCAGGGGAGTGTGTGGTTGCACTCAAGTCCATGATTGGCAGCACAGCACAGCAGTTCCTGACCTTCCTGTCCCACCGTGGCGAGGAGACAGGCAACATCCGTGGCTCCATGAAGGTGCGGGTGCCCACAGAGCGCCTGGGCACCCGTGAGCGACTCTACGGTGGGGGCTCCACTGGGAGGGATATGGGGCATGAGATGGGGTGGTGTGGGCAGGTCTAGGAAAGGAGAACCGGGGGTGTGGGGAGAGCATGTTAGAATCCCTGGAATATTTGGAAGTTCTGCAGCCATGGTTGGGAGTGGGCCTGCCCTGAGGAGTAGCTGGAAAGAGGCTGGTAGGCCCAGTGGGTATCTAGGGTCCAGGACCCCAGGTCCTCTCTGAGTCTCTTTTCTCTTCCTCCCCCAGAGTGGATCAGCATTGATAAGGACGAGGCAGGAGCAAAGAGCAAAGCCCCCTCTGTGTCTCGAGGCAGCCAGGATCCCAGGTGAGCTGGGGTTGTGCTGGGTGTCCCGTGAAGGGGTACCCGGGGGCTTTGGGTACCCTCTACCGCATCTCCTCCCTATACACCCCCGGCAGGTCAGGGAACCGCAAGCCAGCCCCCGCAGAGGCCTCCTGCCCACTGTCCAGGTTATTCGAAGAACCAGAGAAACCACCACCAACTGGGAGGCCCCCAGCCCCACCTCGAGCCGCTCCCCGGGAGGAGCCCTTGACCTCCAGGTGAGAGAAGGAACCTGTTATCCCCCCCACTTTAACTATTGCTATGTTTGGTTCTCACGGCCAGCCTGGGGATCATTTGCTGCTTGAGTGTTCTGATGCCCCATGGCTGTAGAGCCCCGGGGCTCTACACCTGTGGCCACTCTGGCCAGCCAGTCCCCTCTTCGGCGTGGCTCTCTGAATCCAAAGGAGCACAGTGAGCCTTTCCTCCCCATTCTGCCTTAAAAAATAGAATTAGAAGTTGTTTTTACAATAGTTCCTTCCATGTAAACAGATTTAGCTTGAGCTTTCTGTTTGGCTTCAGTCTGGGATTTCCCTCGGTGCATACTATGGGACCACAGTCCTACAAGGTGCCCTATTGGAAATGGGTTTGGGAAACGGTTCTTGCTAGATTCTTTTCTTAGATAGTCCAGTGCACACTAGTGTTCGCAAAAGCTCTGAGCATGTGGACAGGAAGGAAACTGTTTTTCGACTCTGTTGAATATAGTTTCCCAAACTTAATGTGCTAGGAAACTTCTTTTCCACACAGTAACTATTAATACCCTGGGGAACTAGTATTCTGTGGATCATACTCTTGGAAAGTGGGGCTTACTTTCTAATTATATCCAACTGTCGATTGAACTTCAATAAAAGCTGTTAGGTACGTTTTGGTGCTTTTTCACTCATCTTCACCTGTTATCAGTCGCCTTGGTTTTATCCTCAGGCTTGAGTAAAAATCCCTGGGTAAGATTCCTCAGTAGATTGGCCTCAGATGCCTCCAGAGGCTTTCAAACTGGCTGATCATTCCCGTTAAAGGCCTTCATTGCCCTGACTTCTGGCACCTGTTTTCACTGATTTACGCTCTGAGAATTTTAGCAAGTAAGGCTAGGAAGTTTAGGGATTATCTGTTCAACTGCCATGTCTACTCGATTTTAGAGATGAAGACCAGAGGGCCAGAGAGGGAAAGCAATGTGCTCAAGGTCTCATGCAATTCTAGGACCAGGGACCCTTATCTCCTGACTCCCAGTCCAGTTCTCCTTTCACTGCACCCATTGCCTTCACTTTGGTCTCTGGGTCCTGACTTAATTATCCTGCTCTCAAATGCAGGTTGAAGGCAGAGGGGGCTCCAGAGCCGGAAGGGGTGGCGGCCCCCCCACCCAAGAACAGCTTCAATAACCCTGCCTACTACGTCCTTGAAGGGGTCCCACACCAGCTGCTGCCCCCGGAGCCACCCTCGCCTGCCAGGACCCCTGTCCCACCTGCCACCAAGAACAAAGTGGCCATCACAGTGCCTGCTCCACAGCTTGGGCGCCACCGGCCCCCCCGTGTGGGAGAGGGGAGCTCATCAGATGAGGAGTCTGGGGGCACACTGCCCCCTCCAGACTTTCCACCACCACCACTGCCAGACTCAGCCATCTTCCTGCCCCCCAGCCTGGACCCTTTGACAGGGCCAGTGGTCAGGGGCCGCAGTGGGGGTGAGGCCCGTGGCCCACCACCTCCCAAGGCCCATCCAAGACCCCCACTACCCCCAGGCCCCTCACCTACCAGCACTTTCCTGGGGGAGGTAGCCAGTGGGGACGATCGTTCCTGCTCAGTGCTGCAGATGGCCAAGACGCTGAGTGAGGTGGACTATGCTCCTGCTGGGCCTGGCCGCTCAGTGCTTCTGCCAGGCCCCCTGGAGCTGCAGCCACCCCGAGGACTGCCCTCAGACTATGGTCGGCCTCTCAGCTTCCCTCCACCTCGCATCAGAGAGAGCATCCAGGAGGACCTGGCAGAGGAGGTGTGTGGACGAGGTGTGGCTGTCTGTGTGTACCTGAGGTGGTATCTTCTTCACCATTCAGCACTCAGTAGTGTCCCCTCTACCCTGAGCTGGGCACTGGAGAGTTTGGGGGAGGGGAGGGCAATACTTGAATCAGCCCTAGTTCTTGCCTCCTTCCCGAGAGCACGTGGTAGAAAGTGGCTGTCTGCAGGTGCTTCTCTGTGTGGGTACCCTCAGTGCTCCCCCTGACGTGCCCTATTCCCTCAGGCTCCGTGCCCGCAGGGCGGGCGGGCCAGCGGGCTGGGCGAGGCGGGCATGGGCGCCTGGCTGCGGGCCATCGGTTTGGAGCGCTATGAGGAGGGCCTGGTGCACAATGGCTGGGACGACCTGGAGTTTCTCAGGTGGGGGCGGGGCTGGAGGCGGATGGGTGGGTCTGACCCCTGGGGCGGAGCTACGGGCCCTCAAGACCACTTCGCGGATCTCCCAGCCTATCTTACCCCTACAGCGACATCACCGAGGAGGACCTGGAGGAGGCCGGGGTGCAGGACCCGGCTCACAAGCGCCTCCTTCTGGACACCCTGCAGCTCAGCAAGTGATAGCGGTGGCACTGCGAATCTGCGAACTCAGCGCCCCTCCCCGACCCTACTAAGGCCCAGCCTTAGCCCCAAAGTAGAAAATTATGAGGGGTGGGGCAGTACCTCTCTGCCTATTTATTGGGGATCTGCGTTCCCCACTGCCCAATCATGTTGGAATGCCCTAATTAGGACATCCTGCCCTTCACCTTTTACAGCAGTGTCAGTTGCCGTAATTACCAAGGACTTTGGTTATTCTGGTGCTGACCTCCCTTTCTGGACCCCTACTCCCAGTCCCGGGGGTGCCTGTAGGGTCCATTTGGGTACGTCTGGGCCCCCACTTCACCGCGGTTTCTGCTGCCCTCTATCTGGCCTTGAACCACAGTGGGGGGTTCTCAGCTAGGACCTCCCCCAACCCCAACTCTGGGGGTGTCCGTCCGGAAATGAAGGAATAGCCCAAGGACCGGGCTGGGGTTTATTTAAGCTTTTCTGCGTGGGTTTAGGGAGGGCAGGCACTTTAATATTATTGGGGCCGGTTGGGGGTGGGGAGAAGAATCTTGGGCCATAAAGTGCTAGTTTGCTTAGTTCTCACTGTCTCCTGGTCTATACCACCATGGGGTGCGGATGCGTGGCAGCAGTGGGTTCCTCGCTGGTTGCAAGGGGGACCGTCTCTTGCAGGCAGCCTAGCCCCATCCTGAGTACTCAGAAGGGTTGCCAGCGTGATGTCTTCAATAAATTAAGTTTTATTTGGATTGAGCAAAACTCACCTCAATAAATTACAAGTTTTTCAAAGGAAAAGAACAACAACAACCAAAAAAAAAAAAAAAAATCAGGAAAGAGGTAACCCCTCTGTCCCGATGCCCTGGCAGCCAGCCCCTCTGCTCTGAACCGGCCTAACCTCTGCGCCAGACCGGCTGGGAATGGGAGGGGACAAATTGGCAGTGGGACCCTTCAGGCGGCTCATTATCCCAACGACGACCAGAACGGGTGGGGTCAGTGTGGGCTGGCCCAGGGGCTAGGGCAGCAGGCTGGTGGCTAAGTGACCCAGCCAGCTGCAGAGCTAGGCTGTTACTGAACTTGAGGACCCTCACATTCCAGCGCTGTTATTTCATCCCGGTTCCAAAGAAAACCAAGCTGGAAGTGGGGAGGGGAGGGGGGGACGGCCCCAGTGAAAAGTACCCCGCTCTGCTGGGTAGGGTAGGTGAGGAGGAGAGTGTCTCTGACTTGATCTCTCTCCAAAGCTGGGGAGGGCACACCTACGGGTCAGACATGGTAGGGGTAGGGACGGATGGGCACTTCAGGCGGGCGCCCGAATGGGGAGGGACTCTGTCAGGTCCTGGAGGGGCAAGGACGTCTCTGGGGGGCAGGCCCGGAGCCTCCAGAGTCCGGCGGCTAGAAGAGATTGGTCTTCAGGGCCGGCCCAGGCTTCCGGTGGAAGGAGGACAGAACCCCCGAGAAGGGCCCCGGCCCGGGTTCCGCCGGCTGCCAGGCCTTAAGCAGCTCCGCCGCGCCCGCGCCCGGCCCGCCGCCCCCGCCGCCCGCCACGCCGGCCCACAAGGGGCCCTTGAGCGGCTGTGGCCCGGGGCCAGGGCCGGGCCCGGAGCCCAGGGCGGCAGGCAGCGGGCTGGGGCTCAGACGCGGGCTGGCCAGGCCGGGGGCGGGCGGCGGCGGCAGCGACGCGGTGCTGTCGGGCGTAGGGCTGCACGTGGACTCCTTGGAGTCGTCGTCCTCGGACGAGCAGCGCGCCTCGCCCTTTTTGGCGCCCGCCGCGCCCGCCGCACCCTTGGCGCTGGCGGCACGCTCCTGTTTGCGGAACTTGGCCCGGCGGTTCTGGAACCAGACCTGCGGGCACAGGGGCCGGTCAGGCCGAGGCCGCAAGGCGCGGGTGAGCCCTCAGTCCAGAAGGGACCGGATCAGGATTATTGCCAGCTTTCTGAGCGTTGGCCCCTCAGCCCTCCACTTGACCCGTTGCCCTCCTCACCTCTCTGTTCACCTCTTCTCCTCCACTTGCCCTTTCCTTCCAGGTCTTCCCCCTTGGGATCTGCTCACCCGCGGACCCAGTGTTCTTGGTCTCGGGGACTCCGCCTTCGCTCCCCTCATCACCCAAAGCCCTGCCCCGAAGTCCTTCCTACACGAAGCTCCAGGAATTTCCACCTGGGGTGTCCAACGGCGGTTGAGAACGGGTTGGGGCACAGGGGAAACCTTTTGTTCAGGGTCTCCAGTAAGGGCGGACCAGCTCAACCTCTGTACTGGATTTCTGAGATAGACAACAGAATCTACCCTGGCCTGGCTCTCCTGGGCCCTGTGCCTGCCCAGAGCCCGGGATTTCCCAGCTCGGGGATTTCACAGCTGCAAACCTGGGGAGGGGACATGGAGGCGCTCACTGGCTTTCCCGTATTCGTCTGCCTCACTTGGCACTGAAGCCTCCCCGGGCTCCCGCTCTACTCACTCGGCCTCCTTCCAGGATTCCGCACGCCTGTCCCTGCTAGGGAGACTGAGGGGGAAATCTGGGGGGCTGAACACGTCAGATCTCCCTAGGGCCTCAGGTCTGCCGAGTCCTGGCCCCCTCGCCTACCGCAGCTGCCCATCCTCTCCTTCCCAACCACCCCCAGACCGCGCCCTAGCTCCTGGTCCCAGCTCTCCGCCCCCAGGCTGCACCTGCCTGCCACTCTGTCCCGTGGCCCCCAGGTGTCGGGCACTGACTTCCCACCCCCTGACACGCGCACACTCCCGTTTACACACGCAAAACACGCACCTGCACGCGAGCCTCCGTGAGGTCGATCTTGAGCGCCAGCTCCTCGCGCGTGTAAATGTCGGGGTAGTGAGTTTCTGCGAAGACGCGCTCCAGCTCTTTGAGCTGCGCGCTCGTGAACGTGGTGCGGATGCGCCGCTGCTTGCGCTTCTCATGCAGGCCCGACGGCTCCGGGAAGAACTTGTAGGGCACTAGGGGTGTGTGCAGGAAGCGGGAGCAAAGAGGGTGAAGGTGTGAGGGGCAGAGCTCAGCCGGCTGTGTCCTGCCCCTGAGATCGCTCGCGGTCCCTGCCCCTTCCCTGGCCCCTCGGCTTCCTCCTTTCAGTCTCCAATTGAGCGTCTTCCCTACCGTTCAGTGGAGCTGGCAGGAATGAAGGCGGACAGGGCGCAGGTAGACATGGGGCCCAAGAGCAGAGGAGAAGGAACCGGGATCTGATCCTCAGGTCAAGACCGCTGACCTGTCCTCACCCACCGCCTTGTTCCCTAACCTCCCTCCAGTCCACTTGACCCTCCGACCTCCGCTTGGGTGTTTCTGCCTTGGTCAGTCTGCCCGTTTGGTTTCAGGCTGTGCCATGTCCACCTTAACCTTGGCTGTCACGTCTTATCAGTATCATGAGTCTTCCCATACCAGTTCTGGACCTGGCTGGGCGACTGAGACTCCCTGGCCTGGGTCTACTTTCAGCCCTGCCTGTGTACTTTCTGCCATGTAGGGACTTGGCCCCCTCTACCCTGCCATTTCTCTTCTCCTAGGCTTCATCTTCTCAGCCCCCTCTCATGCCTCATTTTCCTCCAGATGTTGGTCCCCCTCTCCTCTTCCTCATCTCTCTCCATCCGCATCTCTCTTCAGCTTTCCCCTTCTGAACCATTCTTCTCTTTGTGGCCATTGAGAAGAGTCCATATTTCTCCCCACCCAGGTTCCTTCACCTTCTTCTTGCCCTTCTCATTCCTCCCAGGCACCTCTGTGTCCCAACTCCCCCACAGCCAGCCCTACCCCCCTCCCTCATTCTCTTCCCATCCTTGTCTCCCATTTACCCCATCCCAATCCCCATTGCCCCACAGCCAGTGTTGCTGACACTGTCTCCTCATCCCTGTCTCCAAGCCCTGCTTAGGTGTCCATATCCTTTAGGGGTCCCTAATATCCTTCATCTTTGTCCTATGTCCCTAGTTCTCTATCTCCCCCTAATCCTTGTCTCTAACACCCCATTCCTATCCCATCTTCCTCATCTCTGTTGCCAGTCTTCCTTGGTTCCCATCTCCCATAATTCCTGTCCCCATCACCTAGTTCTTATCTCTATCTCCCCAGCCCTGGGTCCCCATTTCTCCCATGGTCCCCAATCTTCCCATCTTTGCTCACACTTCTCTGTATCTGTCCTCATCTCCCCATCTCAGAACTCCATCTCTCTGGGGCCCATATCCCCATTTCCTGACTGTATCTCCCCAATCCCCATCCTCATCTGGCCCAGACTACCCAATCTCCCCATCTTTGTTCCAGTGTTTGCCTCCATCTTGCTGGTTTTCATTTCTCCAAATCTAGGTTCCTATCGCACCATCCCTCCCCACCCTTCAGGCCCCAATCTTCTACTTGGGTCCCAGTGGTGTTCCCAGGAAGGAAGGAGATAAGGACATTGGGTGGGGCAGCTTGGACTCTAACCATGAGATGGGGATGGCTGAGAGGCTCCATGAGGTTGAGGGTTCAGATGGGGACTTGAATCAAGAGGCTTGGAAGTGGTGGGGGCTGCCTCTGGGTTCTGCAGGACTCTAGCTGGGAGAGGCCCCAGGGAGAACGAAAGTGGCTTAACTCTTTTCTTCCGGCAACAGAACAGGATTCAGTGGTGCAAGAGGGTCAGGGCACAGGCAGGATGGGTTCAAAACCAAGCAGGAGGGGCTTGATGATGCTGGGGCTCTAGGAAGGTTTCCATGTGGGCAGCTCAGTTGCTGCAGGAGCCCTTGCTGGGGGTCAGACATAAGTGGGGTGGGGATAAGGATGGGATCTGATTGGATTGAGCCGGGAGCATCTTCTAAGGATACGGGGATGGAGAGGTTTGGTGGTAAGTCTTTGCAGGTGGGGACAACTGGACCTGGTGAGGGGTCTGGGGCTGCACCAGGGATCTATTTCCCTGACCTAAAGAGCACAGGATAGGGATCTGGCAGTGAGAAAGAGGAAGGGGAAGGATGAGAGGGTGGGGCTCAACTCTGTCTAGGGGAACCCCATCTTACAGGGAGGCTGGGGTTCCCGCGGGGTGTTGGAGGACAAGGATGGTGGCAGCTGTGGGGGACAGTCGCAGTCACCTGCCACATAGACCAGGGGCTGGGGTTTCCGCAGGATTTGGAGGGAGGGTTGGGCCGGGGCTGGGCTCACCTGCCGAGTAGGGCGCGGGCTGGTGGTCGCGTAGAGCGCCAAGCGCGCAGTTGGAAGAGCCGAGCGCGGGGCAGGGCGGACCAGCCGCAGGGAAGGCGGGTCGCAGGGGGCTGTACTGGAAGCCGCCGGGCTGGCTGCAGGCGCCGAAATCGCCGTAGGCGGACGCCTCCATGGCCGCCACGCACGAGTCGTACGAATTGAGGTAGGAGTAGTCCATCGGCCCGGGGTTCGGGGTCGGGGGCCGGACCGGGCCGGGTCGGGTTGGGGTTGGGGTCCGGGTCCCGGGCCGGGTGCGGGTCGGGATAAGGGTTCGAGCGCCTGGCGCCGAGGACCCGAGGCCGGCTCTGAGCGCCCGCGAGTCCGCCCGCCCCGTCGCGGCCACCCTCCGCCCGGGTGCAATGCAAGTGCAGCCAGACCGGGCCCGCGCGCCTTTTAATGCTCAGGACCCCGCGGAGGGGGCGGGGCGGGGCGAGCTCTGTGGGGCGGGGCCTGGGCCTCCCAGGCCCCACCCCCAGCCACACCAGACCCCCACCCCAAAGGGTCCCCGCCACCCTCCTTGGGCTCCCGAGGTGCAGGGAGGGGTGGCGCGGGGACCGATCCCTAGAGTCCCCATCGAGCCCCAATCTGGACCAGACCTTCGCT